GAAAGTGTTACGAGTGTGGGAGCTGAAAGAGGACATCATCACATTTTTGGAGTTGATGGGGAAATCTGACGAATTCCCTGAGCTAAGCGACAACAACTGGCTTAGTGACTTTGCGTTTGCTGTGGACATATTTTCACACATGAATGAGCTGAATGTGAAACTGCAGGGGAAAGATCAATTTGTTCACGACATGTACAAACATGTGAAAGCCTTCAAATCCAAGCTCACTTTGTTCTCCATACAAATTGTGAACAAATCTTTCACTCATTTCCCCACACTTTCCATGCAGGAAGAGGCACCGCGAAACGCAAAAAAATACAGCAAATCGCTTGAGGACTTGCACGGAGAATTCTGCCGTAGGTTCTCTGATTTCGAAAACATTGAACAGTCACTTCAGCTGGTGTCCTGTCCTCTGTCACAAGACCCTGAAACAGCACCACAGGAGCTGCAGTTGGAACTGATAGATCTTCAGTCTGACTCCGTCCTAAAGGAGAAGTTCAACTCTGTTAAACTGAATGACTTTTATGCTTCACTTAACAGAGCCACGTTTCCAAACCTCCGGAGGACTGCACAGAAGATACTGACTTTGTTTGGCTCGACTTATGTGTGTGAGCAGACATTCAGCATCATGAACGCCAACAAAGCCCGTCACAGATCAAAGTTAACGGATTAGCACCTCAGATCTATCCTGAGAATTGCCACAACCAAAATAACTCCAGACTTGAATGCACTGGCAAAAATGGGAGATCAACAACACTGTTCCCACTGAAACTGATGATCTGTTGCTGCAGCGAGGTTGAAACCAAATCTCCATCACACAGCCTGCGTGGCTGCTCTAACCTGTTAATGTAGATAATCTATATATATAAAATCGTAAATCTGTCTGTCTGTGTGTGTGTCTGTGTGTCGCCAGACCATACGCACTTTTATTGGACGGCGGTTGCCCCTGGCAACGGGTAGCGACGCCTTCGCCGCTTTCATTGGACGGCGGTTGCCCCTGCCAACGAGTAGCGACGGGCCGCGGGGTGGACGCCATTTTGTATTCCCGTTAAAAATAGGCGCACGCATTAACACGCGACTCTGAGGTAAATTCATCAAAGTTTCACGTCCTCTTCACTCCCCCCCCCACCGCTATGTGTGCAATTACTATTATAGGGTCGGGCGATTATTAAATTATAGCGATTAGACACTATTATTGTAGCGCGGGGGGGGGCGGGGGGACCGCACCCGTACCCAGCCTTAACCGGGTGGGAAAATCAGGCGAGGCCGGACGCTCTACACGCTACTAGGCCTCGACACCCACCACGCGACTCTGAGGTAAATTCATCAAAGTTTCACGTCCTCTACAGAGTGGTGAGGGAGGGAGAGTGGCGAGGGAGGGAGAGTGGCGAGGGAGGGACTCAGCCTCAAAACGAGTAACTGGTGTGGCGTATTAACATCTTCACTGGGGAGACAAAGGCGGCCGGCCGTGGTGCATCCAAGTCCCGGGCGAAGCTGGGGTCATGTGTATGTGTGTATGTGTTTATGTGTATGTCTGTGTGTCTGTATGTATGTGCGTATGTACGTGTGTGTTTGTGTGTATGTATGTGTGTGTATGTATGTGTGTTTTTGTGTATGTGTTTATGTGTATGTCTGTGTGTCTGTATGTATGTGTGTATGTACGTGTGTGTATGTGTTTGTGTGTATGTATGTGTGCGTGTATGTATGTGTGTGTATGTGTTTGTGTGTATGTATGTGTGTGTATGTATGTGTGTTATGTGTGTGTCTGTGTGTCTGCATGTATGTATGTGTGTGTGTATTGTGTATGTGTTTGTGTGTATGTGTGTGTTTGTGTGTATGTATGTGTGTGTTTGTGTGTATGTGTATGTCTGTGTGTATGTATGTGTGTGTATGTGTGTGTATGTGTTTGTATGTGTTTGTGTGTTTACGCTCGCATTACACAAATGTGTTGCAGGTCTAAGGCGTTCCTCGCGCAGCATTGCCGCTTTATTATTTCAGTCGTTTACTGCCGTACGCACCCTGAAAGTCGTGTGTGTCTGCAGCAAGCGCGCGTATGTTGTGTAGGGGGAACGGTAGTGTAGTGGTTAGCGTGCTGTCTGTGTGTCTGTGTGTGTGTCTGTCTGTGTGTGTCTGTGTGTGTCTGTGTGTGTGTCTGTGTGTGTGTCTGTGCGTGTGTGGTGTGTGAGGAGCGGTGGGTGTAGTGGTTAACGCTACGCTGCGCTACGAACCCGGCGAACCGAGTTCGATTCCCGTTCACGGCCACCACCGGTGACGATTATTTGAACCTCCCCTAGGTCGACTCAGCCTCAAACGAGTAACTGCTGTGGTGTGTGAACATCGCCACTGGGGAGACAAAGGCGGCCGGGCGGTGTGAATCCAAGTCCCGGGCGAAGCCGGGTAGCCAAGCTAGTCTATTTATATAAAATCGCGAATCTGTCTGTCTGTCTGTGTGTGTGTCTGTGTGTCGCCGGACCATACGCAGTTTCATTGGACACCGGTTGCCCCTGGCAACGGGTAGCGACGCCTTCGCCGCTTTCATTGGACGGCGGTTGCCCCTGGCAACGGGTAGCGACGCCTTCGCTGCGGGGTGGACGCCATTTTTAATTCCCGTTAAAAATAGGCGCACGCATTAACACGCGACTCTGAGGTAAATTCATCACAGTTTCACGTCCTCTTCACTCCCCCCCCACCACAATGTGTGCAATTACTATTATAGGGTCGGTAGATTATAAAATTATAGCCATTAGACAGTATTATTGTAGCGCGGGGGGGGGGGGGGGGGAACGGCACCCGTACCCAGCGTCAGCCGGGTGGGAAAATCAGGCGAGGCCGGAGGCTCTGCACGGTGCTAGGCCTCGACACCCACCACACGACTCTGAGGTAAATTCATCAAAGTTTCACGTCCTCTACAGAGTGGTGAGGGAGGGAGAGTGGTGAGGGAGGGAGAATGGTGAGGGAGGGAGAGTGGTGAGGGAGGGAGAATGGTGAGGGAGGGAGAGTGCTGAGGGAGGAAGAGTGCTGAGGGAGGGAGAGTGCTGAGGGAGGGAGAGTGGTGAGGGAGGGAGAGTGGTGAGGGAGGGAGAGTGGTGAGGGAGGGAGAGTGGTGAGGGAGGGACTCAGCCTCAAAACGAGTAACTGGTGTGGCGTATTAACATCGCCACTGGGGAGACAAAGGCGGCCGGGCGTGGTGGATACAAGTCCCGGGCGAAGCCGGGTAGTACAGCTAGTAAAGAAGTTAAAGTGAGGTCATTGGTTTGGGCGCAGGCCTCAGATGTTTCCATGATGTTTCATCAGTCACGTTACGACATGTTTTTGTATTGTTCGTGCAATTTGTTAAATTTACTTGAAAATAAATGCTTTGCTACCTGTTAAAGGCCAAATCCTTTCATGTAATGATTTTTACATGTCATTTATATTAGTTCACACAAACACTCCATCCATCTGTTCCTGGCCCGGCGTCTCTGTCAAATTTTAGAACCCATTGTGGCCCGCGAGTGAAAAAGTTTGCCCACCCCTGTTCTAGGAACTTGAATTGTGAGAAGAGACAAGACGTTGGAAAATGAGTGACAAACAGTTACTCACCAGTGACTCACGGCCTACCCGTACCCGGCCGCACCAGGGTCGCAAACGGGTAGCCGGGTAGGGTACAGGTATCGGGTACCCGGTTGCGACCTCTGCTTTGAATGCAGCCACTTTATCTGCCGAATTGAACCGAGTTGTCGATCTCCCCTGAAATGACAGATTGAGTACGTTGAGCAGGCTGAATATGTCACATAAGCGAGCAAGTTTTGCGACCCATTCGGTGTCACTGAAATGTGCTGCCAGTGGTGACTTTTTCTAAAATATATCTCTGGAGTGGCTCTCGCAACTCAAAAACTCTGGCCAGTGATCTACTTTTAGAAAGCCATCTCACTTCTGTGTTTTAGAGATGATATGTGGTGAGCGCGCTGCGCTACGAACCCGGCGACCCGAGTTTGATTCCCGCTCACGGCCACCACGATTATTTTTACTTGTCCTGGGCTTCCCCTAGGTCGACTCAGCCTCAAACGAGTAACTGATGTGGTCTGTGTGAACATCGCCACTGGGGAGACAAAGGCGGACGGGGGTGGTGAATCCAAGTCCCGGGCGAAGCCGGGTCGTCAAGCTAGTCTTCTATATATAAAAGGAAAATTTGTGAATGTGTTGTCTGTTCAAAATGTTTAGCATACTTCCCGACATGCAACAAACTTGAAATTTGCCATGTGGGTACTTTGCAAAATGTACACCATGCACAAATTATAAAAATACCCTTTTGTATTTTAGGGGGGGGGGGGATGACCATGAAGTGTGTGGCGAGAATCGATATCTGCTGAGCGTTTGTGGTATCGATTTAACGGGAATAGTCCGATTCTAAAGAAATCTACAACCTTCGATTCCTTTGCGTGATCTAAAGAATCGAATCTTGATGCGCGAGCGTAAGTTTATTTTCCACCGCTCGTTTGGTTTTGTTGAAATTTATTTAAATTTTATTTAAATTTTTATTAATGAGATAATCATTAACAAAAATGCATTTGTATATGTTATGTTTTTAATTTTTTTTGAGAAGTTTTTCAATAAATGTTTCCCCCGGGCAACGCCGGGTGCTTCCCGCTAGTACCTAATAAATGAAACTGAAACGACTCTTTGGTTCCTTCGGTAAAGTCACGTATAAAGATAAAATAATCAATTAAAAAAGTAGTATGCTTTTATTTAATTTATTATTTTATCTTTATACGTGACTTTACCGAAAGAACCAAAGAGTAGTTCCTGCAGTCACGACAGCTTAAAATTAAGATTTAAACTGAAGCTATCAATTGGCGGTTGATTAACATAATGAATTCATGAATGCAATCGCTAGTTCATTGCGACGGGTTCAGCATCCACTCAACACTGGGCATGAGCCCGTCTCATTAACATAATTTATTCATAATTGGTTCTTTACCCTTCTATCTGGCAACAAAACTGACACTCGTGACGTCACGCTGCCGCGTGACGTCACGAGCTGCTACACCGCGCTCGCTCTCACAGATCCGAGGTGAGAAGTTAACATTCGTGGTTGTTGTTGTTGTTTACCCAGGTAGAGCCTCTCTCCGTCTCTCTCTCGTAGGGATATCAATTGAGTAGCAGCGAGTCTGGAATCGATGTCCAGGTTGGAACATTACAACGCGGGGCCTAGCCACGCGGGGCCTTGCCTCCTGCCCTCGACTGATTGCATTTGCTTTAATCCTCTGCTTAAGTTTAATTCGTCTTCATCTGGCTCACTACTTCATGCGACCTCCTTTGCCAGTAGCAACATATAAGAAGAGGTTTTTCCCCTTTTATGGCAACTGAAACAGGTGTTAAGATATTAGTGGTTCTTTCGGTCAAGTCACGTAGAAGGGAAATAATAAAGTAATACAATTTCTTGCTGTGTATTTCACAGCTGACGATGATTGCTCATGTTGCAGTCGAAACGTGAGAATGTTTTTATTTTCATTATTCTGTTTTTCTTCGACGTGACTCGGTGTGAAAAACAGCAAGACAATTTTGGAAAATTTTCTTGCCGTGTTTTTCACACCCGACGATGATTGCTCGTGTTGCAGTCGAAACGTCGTGATAATTTTAATTGTATTTTTTATTTTATTGTTTTTCTTCTACGTGACTTTAGGTGTGAAAAACAGCAAGAAATTTTTGGAAAATTTTGGAAAATTTTCTTGCCGTGTTTTCACACCCGACCATGATTGCTCGTGTTGCAGTTGAAACGTCGTGAGAAATGTTTTTAATTTATTGTTTTTCTTCAACGTGACTTTAGGTGTGAAAAACAGCAAGAAATTTTTGGAAAATTTTGGAAAATTTTCTTACCGTGTTTTCACACCCGACGATGATTGCTCATGTTGCAGTTGAAACGTCGTGAGAAATGTTTTTAATTTATTGTTTTTCTTCAACGTGACTTTAGGTGTGAAAAACAGCAAGAAATTTTTGGAAAATTTCGGATAATTTTCTTGCTGTGTTTATCACACCTGACGATGATTGCTCGTGTTGCAATCGAAACGTCGTGAGAAATTTTAATTGTTTCATATTTTATTATTTCCCTTCTACTTGATGACTTTACCGAAAGAATCAAGAATATGAATCCCTGCAGTCACGAAAGCTTTAAATAAACATTTAGGTGTTAAGATGTTTAAACGCCGACCTGAAACCTTTTGCAAGCAATCGTGTCTGCATTAACCACAATATACTCGCGATCAATATGCAAACAAAACACATGCTGTGATAATCTTTGCATTCTCTGTGAAACTGATTGGTCCACACCAGAGACGGCTTTCTTTCGAGCCTAGTCTCAAACGGTGTTAGACCAGAGGACAGCGCCAAAAGGCGTACACAGCACAAAGACAACGCCGCCATCAGAACAATGACAGCTCGGGGTGAGCAGTTACATCATGGGACGTCCTTTCCCAGTAGCAAAATATAAGAAGAAGCTTTTCTCCTTTCATCATTTACAGATTTGTACAATTCTTTTTGTCTTGGGATATTTTTGTATACGGTTTCTCCGTGTTTATTTCAATTGGTTGGACCATCTCTAGCTCCACCCACCTACCTTGATGCACCCATCTCAGGCCTATATAAGACCTTGTCTCAGCAGCTTTCTCTCTCACCTAAAGACGATTGCTTGTGTTGCGATCGAAACGTTGTGATCTATTTTCTATGTACGCGACTTGACCGAAAGACCCAAAGAGTATTAATTCCTGCAGTCACGAAAGCTTTAAATCAATAAATAACTATGTAGTTTGAGAAGCTCCCAATGCACCATTGGAACTACCTTTGCCAGTAGCAAAATATGATTATTGTTTTTTTACCCTTTTATCTGGCAACAAAACTGACACCTTTTTTTACAAGGAGTCATGTTTGCATTGACCACAATACCTGCGGTCAGAATGTAAAAAAAAACACAACTCTGATAATGTATGCACTGTCCTTGAAATTGATTGGTCCACACCCGAGACAGCTTTTCTTAGAGCCTTGTCTCACATGGTGTTGGACCAGATGACGCTAAAAGGCGTACAACTCAAAGACAATGCACCATCAGAGTATGAGAGCTCGGGGTAAGCATTTACACCATTGGAACCTCCTTTGCCAGTAGCAAAATATGATAATAGTTTTTTTACCCTTTTATCTGGCAACAAAACTGACACCTTTTTTGAGTTGTACGCCTTTTGGCGTCATCTGGTCCAATGAAGAGGTTGGATGTGCGACGCCCACATGAATAGGTGGAACGCTGGGTTCCTAAAACCCAGCAAGACAGTGGGGAGCACAGCTGGTTCATCTGTCAGTTATCCCTTGACACCTGGATCATTCCCATTACCTGCTGTCAAGGAATCCACACTTACATGGCCTTAAATTGCACCTATCATGGCATTAGCACTGGGATAAGGTTACTTGCAATTCGTCATGAATGTTGGATTTTTGTTTAGATATGTTAATGATGCATGTGAAATGTATGTGTATTTTAGAGTTTATCTTTGTGGGGAGATGTGGTGCAGTTATTTCACTGCATTATGAACTCAACAATTAGTCTGATTACCACTGCCAGCAAACATGATTGATAAGTGAAAGCTGAACTGCTTGTGGGCCTCTGCTATGTTGATTGATCTTAAATTAACTACATGGTGAAGGGAGGAAGCGTCAATACTGAGCAGATGAAGGCGGCCAGGAATGGTTCTGGACACACCACCACTTTTTACCATGCCAGTGTGTGACAGTGTCAAGTTTGTATTTGCAGTAAATTATATTAACTATTGAACATGGAGGTTAAATCAAAACAATCGCTTATTTTAGTTTCCCTCTGGAACTTTTTGGAAGAATGGAAACAGGAAATTAACAGCACATATGCCGCTGAAGTTATATCTGTTCATCCAAGCATTCAAGCAAATCTGAGCCTGGCTTCACACCGCTAAAGTTTCGATTGAACATTTATTTATGCATTTCTGCATAATACAATTAGTATTATTCCCAACAGCCTTTGCTATGTTAGCTGATATTTGCTTTTATAAATACTACTTTTGCAGCCAGGCTGCTGAAATTGTGTGCTTGGTGTTTTGGTCTAACATTTATTTTGAAGATACTAGGGCTTCCAGGCATATTTTTAAATCCTTTATATTAAGTTCGCTTGCTTGCTTGCGTGCTTGCTTGCTTACGACCGTGCAAATCTTTCGGTCGTTTTTTAAAAAATTCCCAAAATTTTACACTTTTTAGGCAAAAAAAATTGATTTTACATATATTCAAATAGAACTCATTCTTGGCTTTGGTTGAACGTCACAGTATAAGAGCCCAGAGCGTAACCCCTCCACAGGCCGTGGCGGAGTAGCGCAGTTGGTAGCGCCCTTGCTTCCCATGCCAAAGGTCGCAGGATCGATCCCCGCGTCCTCCACAGGTGAATATATTTTTAAATCCTTTATATTAAGTTCGCTTGCTTGCTTAGGACCGTGCAAATCTTTCGCTCGTTTTTTAACCCACTTCCCGTGATCCAATCGAGCTGACATTTTTTCCAAAATTTTACACTGTTTAGGGAAAACAAATTAAATATTTAATTACCAATTGCTTAATACTGGCAGACAATCATCTGACCCATAGATTGCAGCCATCTCAAGCCAGAGGACGAGAGAACTCTAGCCGCCACGCATATAAAGGATTTAGAGTGAAAAACTTTGTTTTTACGGGTTTACTTGTTAACCTTTTGCCCCCTCATTGTGTGTCTTAACAGCCCGTGTGATGAATTGTGGATAATCTTGAATATATGGATAAATATAGACGTGTAAGGCAAGTGCGACTGTATATATTCATTCCTCTGTGCCTCGATACTGATGAAGATGGTGTGGACATTTTTTTCTGTCTGCAGCTGATCCTTCTTATGATGCTTCCTCTGCAGAATTGGTCTGATGGAGCAAAGGCACTCAGCGCAGCTCAGTAGACAAAGACAACAATGGGACCAGTATGCAAACAGCATGGATTGTACTGGAAATTTTACACAAGACCAGAGATCTCCAATGGGAGAGAAACGCTTCAAGTGCACTGTGTCTGGGAAGGCATTTTCAGATTCATTTAATCTTAAAAAACACCAGAGAACACACACAGGAGAGAAACCCTTCAGGTGTAGTGTGTGTGGGAAGGAATTTTCATTTTCATCTGGTCTTAAAAAACACGAGAGAACACACACAGGAGAGAAACCCTTCAAGTGCACTGTGTGTGGGAAGGCATTTTCAAGTTCATATTATCTTAAGATACACCAGAGAACACACACAGGAGATAAACCCTTCAAGTGCAGTGTGTGTGAGATGGCATTTTCACATTCATCTAATCTTAAAATCCACCAGAGAATACACACAGGAGAGAAACCCTTCAAGTGCAGTGTGTGTGAGATGGCATTTTCACAGTTATCTAATCTTACAATCCACCAGAGAACGCACAAAGGAGAGAACCCCTTCAAGTGCGGTGTGTGTGAAATGGCATTTTCACATTCATCAAATCTTAAAATGCACGAGAGAACGCACACAGCAGAGAAACCCTTTAAGTGCAGTGTGTGTGGGAAGGCATTTTCACGTTCGTCTTATTTTAAAATACACCAGAGAACACACACAGGAGAGAAACCCTTCAAGTGCACTGTGTGCGGGAAGGCGTTTGCACAGACAACACAGCTTAATACACACCAGATAACACACTGGCATCAGAAGACCCCCAAGGAGTGTAGTCTGAAATCGACTTGTGAAAGTCAAAGTGCTGCAATGAGCCCATCCCTCCTGAAAAAAGAACCAGAAGTAAATTCCAGCTTGGACACAATGAAATGTATCAAGGTGACATTTGAAGAGGCGACGGTGAAGAGCGAAGAAGTGACAGTGAAGAGCGAAGAAGTGACAGTGAAGAGCGAAGAAGTGAAGGCAAAATGTGAAGATGAACATTCAACTCCAAAATCGGACCTTCACATCAATGGAGGCAACGTGAAGCAGGAGGAGAATTCTGACTGTGAGGCAGAGCGAGGCAACTCCCAGCAGTTTGTGGAAGTGGAGGTGTGGGTGGACTTCTTAGACAATACAAGGTCAAATGGAGAACCTGTAGATGTGTAAGCTTGAGACAATGAAGCTGCAATAGATTCACATTTGTCACAGGCCTTTAATGAAAAGAACGTGAAGTTGAATACTCCATTTCTAGGTTCAACCTGCAGAGTAAGAGCGGTCAGTATTTGCGGACCTGTGGGTTGGGTAGATCTCTAACTAGGAGCGAGAGCCAATAAACTCCCAAGCATTCACTATGTTATAATAATATTAGCATTTATATGGGGCTCGCTTATCATATCTTTTCACAAACACTCGAAGAGCACGCCTTTTGGAGTCCTCTGGATTAACACCGTTTGATACTAGGCTCGAAAGAAAGCTGTCTCTGGTGTGGACCAATCAGTTTCAAAGATAATGCATATGTTTTGTCATATGACCAGACGGCGATCCGAGGGGAGAGATTCACGTAAAGACAGAGACACGACCCATACATCGAGACTACTGCAAGTTACAGAAGACTACAAGCGACAGAGAGTACTGCGACGCGCAGACTCCGGGGCATGGCCTCGAGATCAACAATGGGTGTTGTGTCTCGCAAAGAGGGGCGAGGTGATGCTCGGTGCTGAGTTCGACATGGACCGACAGAGTATCGCTGAGAGTTTTATTCTACATTTATCCTGATGTTTTGAGTCGCTTGCAAAGTCAAGGATTGCGATAAGTTGTATTGTACTAAGCTTTCACAGTTGTTTAAGAGGTGTGCAAATACAATTTACAAGTTTTGAGAGTGAGTTCCAGCTCCCACGAGCAGCTGCGATCGGCAGGCTCCGGGGAACCTGCCCCCGTGACTGGCACATCGTCAACGAGCTGCACCAGCAGAAACCACGAGTCTACGAAATCAACACAAAGAGTTAACTTACTGCAAGCGGCAAGCTCTGGGGTGGGACTCTGCAATCAACCAAGGATGAAGAGGTTTGCCGAGTAGAAATTGGTCACCGAGTACGAGCTCGGCGCTGACGGAAGAAGTATCGCTCAAAGTTATTCTACACTGAGTGCCAGCTACCACGAGCAGCTGCAGCCCGAGAGATAGTGTCGAGCAACGACGAGCAATCAACTGGGAGAAAGGGTGGAAGCCCAAGCATCGACCAAGCCAGCATCTTAGAGAACCAGCTGCACGCGCAACCAGGCATCGCCAGAGAGCACGGAGCCGGAGAGAGAGCGCAGCAGCGCCACCGAGCACGGGTGTCAGCTGCCAGCGGACGAGCGGTGAGCGCTGTCGAGCACCTTCAAAGACAAGCATCGTGACGATTCAGCTCATCCAGCAGGGGAAAGAGCCTGACCAGCCGCCCGTGAGGAAGAGGAGAGCGCCGTGTGTTCGACCCACACGCACCGACCAGCACCAGCTGTGAACCAAGACAAGAGTGAGGAACGGCGACCAGCAGACGAGCTGCGGGCGCTATCTGACGACGGAATCATCGCGCACCGCCGACGGCGAGCGTCGTGCCGACTCTTCATCAAGCAGTGGGCAGCAACTCCAGCTGCCGCCGAGCGAGAGAGAGCGAGGAAGCTGTGTGTATGACCCTCCCCCACACTCACATACTCGCCACGTATCACCCAGCGTCTGCTTGACGCAAAGAATTGATCAAGGAGACAAAACCACCAAACACACCGCACATACCGGGACTGATAATAATAAGAAGAATGATAAGAGTGCGTCAACTATTAGTTGGTAATGAAGAACATTGCTGCCCATTGAGTCACGTGGATACGGTCGTTGAGAAGTATTTTAGTCGTTCTTTTTGTTAATTTTAACTGTACTGATGAATTCATTGACGAAACTAAACGCTTATAAACCTACGTTACGAATCCACACACAGGGAGACTTGTGTTGAAATCTTTCTTTTGATCACAGAATCTTGCCCGCGAATGTATTGAAGCCTTAGCCAATTGATAAGCATTTGCTGAAGCAGGCACACTGCTGGACACCATTGTTCCAAGACATTTAGTTAGATGAAACTGACATTTAGCTTATTACATAATCTACCAATGAATTTATTGAGGTCTACTTTTGCCTTCGGGACATGTTTCTTTATTGCCGTTCGTATGAATATCGTCACATTTATTTTTAAGGACTTTTTCCTATCGTTGTATATGCTCGCGTTACTCTGAGAAATTAACCGATTGCTCTGTTACACAGTTTAACAACGTAATCATTGAGGGTTAAATGTACGGATCAATGAGCACATCTCCAGGAGTACTGTGTTGACAATTCCAAGCATAAGAGTTCGCATATTAGAGTGTTATGTTTTTGTTTAGAAATTAAAGTTGCTTAACACAGAAGTGTCTGAGTGGTTCCTTCCTAAGTTCATGCATAATGATCTTAATTAAAAGAACTGTATCCTTTGGCGAGATCTGAATTCTGAGACCTGATAGAATTACACTAAAACATAATCAGTTAAAGTTAAAGCGAGAATCTTTGTATTATCACAATTAGTAAGAAGACAAGTTTTTTCACGGACCAGGGGGGGGCGGGGGGGATGGTTTCATGATGATTCAAGCGCATTATATTTATTGTGCACTTTATATTATTATTACATTGTAATGTGAAATAATTATACAACTCGCCATAATGCAGAATCAGTGGTAGCTCTGAGCTTGTTTTCCTGTAACTAGATGGTCCCATCTGGCCGTGATGGGAGACCGTGACACCCGAAGTGTGTTGCCTATGTCCAGTCTACTCCATAATCTCGTTTTGGTTGCTGTCACTGCAGAAAACCCTGTTTCACAAAGATGGGATGTTGGAAATCGAAGCAGGCTTTTCAGTGCTTTTGTGGCAATCTCAGGATATTCCGCCTTGACTTTAATCCAGAACGTATCGAGATTTGAAGTTGTCTCAAACATACTTTTAATGCCACCTTCATTTGCGATCTCAAGCAGTTGATCCTCTTCTAGCACAGACAAAGTCGATTCACCTGGCTTATTCACAAATGGGTTGCGGATCCATTCCTTCCCAGGTCGGGGGTCTTTTGTGGTTGGGAAGTAATTCTCAAACTCTTTTAAAAGCTTTGTCTGTGTTTCTCAAGTAGATGTCTGTGTGTTACATGTGTATGTGTGTAGGGCTGTGTGTGTGTCAGTCTATCTATGTGTGTCTGTCTAAGTCCATGTGTGTGTGTCTGTCTAAGTCCATGTGTGTGTGTCTTAGTCTATGTGTGTGTGTGTCTTAGTCTATGTGTGTGAGTAAGTACATATGTGTGTTTACATAAATGTGTGTGTGAGTCCACGTATGTCTGTGTGTGAGTCGCTGTATGTGTGTACGTCGATATATGTGTGTGTAACTCCATGTGTGTATATCTCAAGTGGATGTCTATGTGTGACAGTCTGTATGTCTGTGTACGGCAATGTGTGTCTCATTCTATGTATGTGTGTGAGTCGCTGTATGTGTGTACGTCCATATGTGTGTGTAACTCCATGTGTGTGTATATCTCAAGTGGATGTCTATGTGTGTATAAGTCCATATGTGTGTGTTTAAGTCGATGTCTTTGTGTGTGTGAGTCCATATGTGCGTGTGTGTCTGAGTCCATGTGCGTGTGTGTTAGTTGCTCTGTGTGCATGCCTCAATGTTAGTCAGTGTAAGTCTATTTCTTTGCGTGTCTGTAGGCCCATGTGTGTGTCTTAGTCCATGTGTGCGTCTTAGTCCATGTGTGTGCTTTATTGACCTGCTCAAGGCTTATGATACCATCAGTAGGCCTGGGCTCTGGATTGTTCTTCATGCTTTCCGAGTCCCTCACCCACTGATCACCATCCATAAGGACCTTCATGATGGTGAGCGGGCCCGGGTAAAACTACGTGGCCGGGAGTCAGAGCCTTTCCCTGTACACTTTGGGGTGCGACAGGGATGTCCTCTGGCTCCCACATTTAACATCTATTTTGACCACGTAGTTCGTGAAGCCTTCAATAGCTGTACCGGAGGAATTTCCATTTGGTACAGATACAATGGGAGGCTGATCGATGCCCGGGTGCGGTTAAGGGATGGCTCCCTATTGCTCAGCCACATTATGTATGCCGATAATCTGCTAATTGCTACTCGGAGGAGGAGTTCTCGGTGCCGTTGCTGAACCTGGAGCTTGCCACCAAGAGGTGGGGCCTTACCATCAGCCCCACCAAAACAAAGCACCTGCCTGGGTATTTTGTACCATCGGACACTCCATTCCCACAACTCCCGATGGGTGATGGGGCAGTTGTGGAGACAGTGGAGAGTTTCCCATACCTTGCCAGTCTGCTAATGACCAGCTCTGGTTTAACAGCAGAGGTCTCACTCAGAATCCGTTGAGCCGGATTATCTTTTCATCGGTTGTGTAACACTGTTTGGAAGCTACCTGCTCTATCACTCCGCACGAAGCTTCAGATCTTCTCGGCCACGGTCATTCCCTCCCTTCTCTATGCTTCTGAAACTTGGACCCCCCCTAATGGAATATCTTCGCCGATTAGAAACATTTAGGATGGCCTGCCTACGATGCATCCTGGGTTTAACCAGGCTGGATTGTGTGAAGAGCTCACAAATCCTTGAAAGATCTGGGCAAAGTCCCATCCGTGAGCTCCTCCAGCAGGTCATGTAGCCCGCATGCCCAGCCACTGCATGCCTAAACAGCTTTTGTTTGGCCGGATCGAAGGGGCTAAACGGCCGTGGCACGGGCTGGAGAAGAGATGGAGTGATGTGGTACAGGAGGACGTGGAGCTGAGTGGACTTGCCGATGACTGGTACCAGCCATGTCAAGATCGGCCTCTGTGGAGGAGGCTCGTGAAGGACGCTACTGGCCAGTTGAAGGCAATCGCCCTCCATAAACAACGGAGGGCGGAGGAGCGACGCTCACAACAACGAGCGGAGCGCCGGGCGGCTAAAGCACAGCGAGTTGCCACAGTAGGGGCCACAGGTGGTGCATCAGCCAGTCGTCTCAGTCGACCTGTGCCATCTGGGTTTGCACCGTGACCTCCTGCCAGCAGGCGTTCGACACTTCATGTGGCCTCAAGGTGCACATAGCCTGGCACAAGCGTTGTGGTGACGTCACCGCCACTTAGTGGCGAATGGCGGTTGTTGTTTAGTCTATGTATGTGTAACGGGTTCCGGAGACACTTGTAGAGGTAACTTGTTTATTACAACCCAACACTCTCCAACAGTCCAACTCTCCAACAGTCCTGACTCTCCAACACTCCTGATACTCTGTTATAGCTTAGGTACACAGCCTAGGTACACAGCCTAGATACTCTACTCTGGCTACGCTCTGGAACTCGCCCTCACAAGGTCGTAGAGTCGGGAGTTCCAGAGTCCCACCATTGGCTCTCACAGCGTCCCAGGGTCCTCCGATGGCTGGTCTTGGGTCTTGGGTCTTGAGCTACGACTGGGCCCTGATCGTCCAGGGAGCTCCCCTTTTATGCCTGGTCCAACGAGGGGTGGGGCCGTGTGCGCCACCAGACATCCCACAGAGCACACACAGCCCCCCCCCGTTGGCGGCGCCAAGAGGCTTAAGCGCCTGAGAACCCAACGCCTGGTGCCAAGAGGCTTAAGCGTCTGGACCCGCCTGGGAACCCAACGCCTGGTGCCAAGAGGCTTAAGCGCCTGGCCCACCCAGGGTCCCAGAGCCCCCAGCAGCCCCTCCCTTCTTATGTCACTACATTACCCCCCTCTACGTAGCCTCCAGCCGACCCGGCTGTCAATAATTAGAAAGTTTAAATTAACGAAAGGGAGAGAGAGAAAAAAAATACGCGAGCCTCAACAGGAAAAGAAAAGAGAACAAGAAAGCAACCATAAATACCATAACCAACCTGTACAACTTTACACTATATACAAGCATCAATCAACAAAAAGGTGAAGCAATGACACGTGAACAAACGACCCGCGGCACACCCAGCCCTCCTCGGGATCCGCATAGAAAACGGGGAATTAACAACAACAAATATACAGATTCCGACGCGTTGGATGCACAACCACCGCATGGATGGCAGGGTTCCACACCACTCTGCCAGCCTCCCATCCGTCAGGTGGAGAGAAGGCGAAGACCAACATGTCGAGCATCCCTCTACACACACTAATCCGGACGTCTGTCTACGTCCCGGGTCGAGAAGTCGTACTTCAGGGTCGACCCATGTACTAGGCAAAGAAGTCACACTTCAGGGCTGCTCCAGTATCTACATTTAAAATATATATATAAAATTTACATGACACAAACAAAATAAATCTGCCTGCTCCTGTCCATAAATGGTGGCCGCACGCGCGAACCGCATCTCCAAGGCATCCCGTGCTTGCGTCCCAGCAGCCCTCAATGAGAACCACCACCGACATTACATGTCAACCATTAGCACCCCCCGCCTTTCCAACGTGCGTCTCCATCTTAAAACCGCGCACGTCGGCCATATCGGGGGGGGGGAATTTCAACCCAGTCTCTCTCCAAGACTCGCATCGCAGCATATAGCTGTACCGACCGAGCTGAGACCCAGTCTCTCTCCAAGACTCGCATCGCAGCATATAGCTGTACCGACCGAGCTGAGACGACCCATCGTTCACTCCCTGCACAACATGCACCCTAACAACTGAGGGATGCAGTCCCAACGTAACGGGACAACTACACCTGAACACCATGAATCTCTAGCCCACTGTTTCAACGCGCCTCGGAGTGTTTCAATCTCCGGGCCGTCAGGGCGAGTCTACTGCTCCAGACGCACCACGGAGGGTCTCAACCTCCGGGCCGTCAGGTCAAGCCGTCAGCTACTCCATGACGGGACCAGACTCTCCGAGCCATGTGAGCGCACAGCCCACTAGGCTAGACATGCCACGGAGTGTTTCAATCTCTGGGCTGTCAGGTCAAGCCGTCAGCCATAGCATGACGGGACCACAACTCTCGTGTTAGACACGCAACACCCGCTGGGCCATCCTGGTCAGGATCTGCACCCCAAGATATTTGAGAGCCAGCATGACAATTCCAAATCCTTGGTAGCATGTCACCATCTCAAAATAAATGCCCCATACAGTATATACATCGTTAACAATGACAGCACAAGCTATACATTAACAATCACGAACAAAGCTCAATACAAACCATACATTGTTAACAATCACAAGCAAAGTTTCGCACACACATTGACAACACTCACGAGCGAAGCTCCACACAGTTTACCCAACAACAATCACGACTCCCCGTCGACAACGAAGAGAATGTCAACAAAAAAATCATTAATCCGGAGCGCGTAAATGTAGGAAGTGTCAGGGGCCTGGTCTCCTGACCTCCAACCTTTGGCCAGAGCAGCAGAGGCGGCGACCAGCGTGTCGGTCGATGTGCCGGCCCCGGCGCCGGTTACAGTAAGAATGGCGCTCTCACTGTCCGGTCGCAGCGCTGATGACGCGGTATGCTAGGTTGAAGCCAGCTGTCGTCCGGCAGTGAAGGTCGCAGCGCTGATGACGCGGCGTTGTTTGATTGGGCCACTCTGGGCCTGGAAGTGACGTTGCTCCCAGCGGTCATTTCTCCTCCGGTGGAAGTGATGTCATTCCCGGAAGTATCCCCCACCCCCGGCACGGGAATGCCGGTGGCGTCCACCATGCCCGTGGCGGCGGCGGGCTCAGGCGAGCGCTGCGCCTCTTCTCTCCCTCCCGCCATCGCCTGTGAGCGCCGCATCTCACCCAGGAGGGAGGCGGTGGCGCAAAGCAGCTCTGCGAGGCGAAGCAGCGCCTCTTTCATCCCTGCTCCCGACGCTGGAGAGGGGACGGTCGGCGGAGCAGACAGCTGCTTAGCCGGCGGTGCGGCGTGGTTGTCGGCCAGCGGTGCAGCGTCGCTGTCGGCCGGCGTTGGCCGCCCCATCGCTGCCTGCTCCTCGACATCGCCGTCAGGACTGAAGGTACGTGGCTTACTTCTTGTCTCCATAGCCACTTCTGACGCCAAATGTAACGGGTTCCGGAGACACTTGTAGAGGTAACTTGTTTATTACAACCCAACACTCTCCAACAGTCCAACTCTCCAACAGTCCTGACTCTCCAACACTCCTGATACTCTGTTACAGCCTAGGTACACAGCCTAGGTACACAGCCTAGATACTCTACTCTGGCTACGCTCTGGAACTCGCCCTCACAAGGTCGTAGAGTCGGGAGTTCCAGAGTCCCACCATTGGCTCTCACAGTGTCCCAGGGTCCTCCGATGGCTGGTCTTGGGTCTTGGGTCTTGAGCTACGACTGGGCCCTGATCGTCCAGGGAGCTCCCCTTTTATGCCTGGTCCAACGAGGGGTGGGGCCGTGTGCGCCACCAGACATCCCACAGAGCACACACAGCCCCCCCCCGTTGGCGGCGCCAAGAGGCTTAAGCGCCTGAGAACCCAACGCCTGGTGCCAAGAGGCTTAAGCGTCTGGACCCGCCTGGGAACCCAACGCCTGGTGCCAAGAGGCTTAAGCGCCTGGCCCACCCAGGGTCCCAGAGCCCCCAGCAGGCCCTCCCTTCTTATGTCACTACATATGTGTGAGTGCATTTGTGTGTGTAACTCTATGTGTGTGTGTCAGTCCATTTGTGTGTAACTACATGTGTGTCTGCCTTTTTCGCCCGGGCAACGTCGGGTACTTACCGCTAGTACCAAATAAATGAAACTGAAACTATCAACTGACGGTTAATTAACAATTTATTCCTAAATATAATCGCTAGTTCATTGTGACTGCTTCAGCATCCACGCCTCATCACTGGACTTGAGCCCGTCTCATTGACATAATTTATTTAGTTACACCGCCGCTCGTTGGGGGAGGGGATTGTGTGTTCAAACCCTCTAGTGACGTCATGTCACCGCTTGCTTCCGCGTGACGTCACGACATATCCATAAGCTGCTGCACCGCGCGCGTGCTCTAAGATCCGAGGTGAGAAGTTAACATCGTGGTGGTTGTTGTCGTGGTGGTTATTGTTGTTACCCAGGTAGAGCCTCTCTCCGTCTCTCTCTCGTAGGGATATCAATTGAGTAGCTGCGAGTATGGAATCGATGTCCAGGTTGGAACATTACAACGCGGGGTTTAGCCACGCGGGGCCTTGCCGCCTGCCCTCGCCTGATTGCATTTGCTTTAATCTTTTGCTTAAGTTTAATTCGTCTTCATCTGGCTCACTACTTCATGGGACCTCCTTTGCCAGTAGCAAAATATAAGAAGAGGTTTTTTCCCCTTTTTTGGCAACAAAACAGGTGTTAAGATATTCTTGGTTCTTTCGGTGAAGTCACATAGAAGGGAAATAAAGTAATACAATTTCTTGCTGTGGATTTCACATCTGACGATGATTGCTCGTGTTGCAGTCAAAACGTGAGAATTTTTATTTATTTCATTTTTCTTCTACGTGACTAGGTGTGAAAAACAGCAAGAATTTTTTTCAAAATTTTGGAAAATTTTCGTGCTGTTTTTCACACCTGACGATGATTGCTCGTGTTGCAGTCGAAATGTGAGAATTTTTTTTATTTCATTGTTTTTCTTCTACATGACTTTAGGTGTGAAAAACAGCAAGAAAATTTTTCTAAATTTTGGAAAATTGTCTTGCTGTGTTTTTCACAGCTGACGATGATTGCTCGTGTTGCAGTCGAAACGTCGTGAGAATTTTTATTTTTTTTATTTTATTGTTTTTCTTCTACGTTACTTTAGGTGTGAAAAACAGCAAGAAATTTTTGGAAAATTTTCTTGCCGTGTTTTCACACCCGACGATGATTGCTCGTGTTGCAGTTGAAAAGTCGTGAGAAATGTTTTTAGTTTATTGTTTTTCTTCAACGTGACTTTAGGTGTGAAAAACAGCCAGAAAATTTATGAAAATTTTGGAAAATTGTCTTGCTTTGTTTTTCACATCTGATGATGATTGCTCGTGTTGCAATCGAAACGTTGTGAGAAATTTTAATTGTTTCATATTTTATTATTTCCCTTCTACTTGATGACTTTACCGAAAGAATCAAGAATATGAATCCCTGCAGTCACGAAAGCTTTAAATAAAAATTTAGGTGTTAAGATGTTAAAACGCCGAACTGAAACCTCTTGCAAGGAATCGTGTCTGCATTAACCACAATATACTCGCGATCAATATGCAAACAAAACACATGCTGTGATAATCTGTGCATTGTCTGTGAAACTGATTGGTCCAAAACCAGAGACGGCTTTCTTTCGAGCCTAGTCTCAAACGGTGTTAGACCAGAGGACAGCGCCAAAAGGCGTACACAGCACAAAGACAACACCACCATCAGAACAATGACAGCTCGGGGTGAGCAGCTACATCATGGGACCTCCTTTCCCAGTAGAAAAATATAAGAAGAGGCTTTTCCCCTTTTATCATTTCCAGATTTGTACAATTCTTTTTGTCTTGGGATATTTTTTGTATACGGTTTCTCAGTATTTATTTCAATTGGTTGGACTAGCTCCACCCACCTACCTTGATGCACCCATCTCAGGCCTATATAAGACCTTGTCTCAACAGCTTTTTCTCTCACCTGAAGACGATTGCTTGTGTTGCGATCGAAACGTCATGATCTATTATTTTCTATGTACGCGATTTGACCGAAAGACCCAAAGAGTATTACTTCCTGCAGTCAATAAAGCTTTAAATCAATAAATAATTATGTAGTTTGAGAAGCTCCCAATGCACCATTGGAACCACCTTTGCCAGTAGCAAAATATGATTATTGTTTTTTACCCTTTTATCTGGCAACAAAACTGACACCTTTTTTTTACAAGGAGTCATGTTTGCATTGACCACAATACCTGCGGTCAGAATGCAAAAAAAAACACAACTCTGATAATGTATGCACTGTCCTTGAAATTGATTGGTCCACACCCGAGACAGCTTTTCTTAGAGCCTTGTCTCACATGGTGTTGGACCAGATGACGCCAAAAGGCGTACAACTCAAAGACAATGCACTATCAGAGTATGAGAGCTCGGGGTAAGCATTTACACCATTGGAACCTCCTTTGCCAGTAGCAAAATATGATAATTGTTTTTTTACCCTTTTATTTGGCAACAAAACTGACACCTTTTTTGAGTTGTACGCCTTTTGGCGTCATCTGGTCCAATGAAGAGGTCGGATGTGCGATGCCCACATGAATAGGTGGAACGCTGGGTTCCTAAAAACCCAGCAAGACAGTGGGGAGCACAGCTGGTTCATCTGTCAGTCATCCCTTGACACCTGGATCATTACCTGCTGTCAAGGAATCCACACTTACATGGCCTTAAATTGCACCTATCATGGCATTAGCACTGGGATAAGGTTACTTGCAATTCGTCATGAATGTTGGATTTTTGTTTAGATATGTTAATGATGCATGTGAAATGTATGTGTATTTTAGAGTTTATCTTTGTGGGGAGATGTGGTGCAGTTATTTCACTGCATTATGAACTCAACAATTAGTTTGATTACCACTGCCAGCAAACATGATTGATAAGTGAAAGCTGAATTGCTTGTGGGCCTCTGCTATGTTGATTGATCTTAAATTAACTACATGGTGAAGGGAGGAAGCGTCAATACTAAGCAGATGAAGGCGGCCAGGAATGGTTCTGGACACACCACCACTTTTTACCATGCCAGTGTGTGACAGTGTCAAGTTTGTATTTGCAGTAAATTATATTAACTATTGAGCATGGAGGTTAAATCAAAACAATCGCTTATTTTAGTTTCCCTCTGGAACTTTTTGGAAGAATGGAAACAGGAAATTAACAGCACATATGCCGCTGAAGTTATATCTGTTCATCCAAGCATTCAAGCAAATCTGAGCCTGGCTTCACACCTCTAAAGTTTCGATTGAACATTTATTTATGCATTTCTGCATAATACAATTAGTATTATTCCCAACAGCCTTTGCTATGTTAGCTGATATTTGCTTTTATAAATACTACTTTTGCACCCAGGCTGCTGAAATTGTGTGCTTGGTGTTTTGGTCCAACATTTATTTTGAAGATACTAGGGCTTCCAGGCATATTTTTAACCTTTTGCCCATGTGATGAATTGTGGATAATCTTGAATATATGGATAAATATAGACGTGTAAGGCATGTGTGACTGTATATATTCATTCCTCTGTGCCTCGATACTGATGAAGATGGTGTGGACATTTTTTTCTGTCTGCAGCTGATCCTTCTTCTGATGCTTCCTCTGCAGAATTGGTCTGATGGAGCAAAGGCACTCATCGCAGCTCAGTAGACAAAGACAACAATGGGACCAGTATGCAAACAGCATGGATTGTACTGGAAATTTTACACAAGACCAGAGATCTCCAACGGGAGAGAAACCCTTCAAGTGCACTGTGTGTGGGAAGGCATTTTCAGGTTCATTTAATCTTAAAAAACACCAGAGAACACACACAGGAGAGAAACCCTTCAGGTGTAGTGTGTGTGGGAAGGAATTTTCATTTTCATCTGGTCTTAAAAAACACGAGAGAACACACACAGGAGAGAAACCCTTCAAGTGCACTGTGTGTGGGAAGGCATTTTCAAGTTCATATTATCTTAAGATACACCAGAGAACACACACAGGAGATAAACCCTTCAAGTGCAGTGTGTGTGAGATGGCATTTTCACATTCATCTAATCTTAAAATCCACCAGAGAATACACACAGGAGAGAAACCCTTCAAGTGCAGTGTGTGTGAGATGGCATTTTCACAGTTATCTAATCTTACAATCCACCAGAGAACGCACAAAGGAGAGAACCCCTTCAAGTGCGGTGTGTGTGAGATGGCATTTTCACATTCATCAAATCTTAAAATGCACGAGAGAACGCACACAGTAGAGAAACCCTTTAAGTGCAGTGTGTGTGGGAAGGCATTTTCACGTTCGTCTTATTTTAAAATACACCAGAGAATACACACAGGAGAGAAACCCTTCAAGTGCACTGTGTGCGGGAAGGCATTTGCACAGACAACACAGCTTAATACACACCAGATAACACACTGGCATCAGAAGACCCCCAAGGAGTGTAGTCTGAAATCGACTTGTGAAAGTCAAAGTGCTGCAATGAGCCCATCCCTCCTGAAAAAAGAACTAGAAATAAATTCCAGCTTGGACACAATGAAATGTATCAAGGTGACATTTGAAGAGGCGACGGTGAAGAGCGAAGAAGTGACAGTGAAGAGCGAAAAAGTGAAGGTCAAATGTGAAGATGAACATTCAACTCCAAAATCGGACCTTCACATCAATGGAGGCAACGTGAAGCAGGAGGAGAATTCTGACTGTGAGGCAGAGCGAGGCAACTCCCAGCAGTTTGTGGAAGTGGAGGTGTGGGTGGACTTCTTAGACAATAAAAGGTCAAATGGAGAACCTGTAGATGTGTAAGCTTGAGACAATGAAGCTGCAATAGATTCACATTTGTCACAGGCCTTTAATGAAAAGAACGTGAAGTTGAACACTCCATTCCTAGGTTCAACCTGCAGAGTAAGAGCGGTCAGTATTTGCAGAACTGTGGGTTGGGTAGATCTCTAACTAGGAGCGAGAGCCAATAAACTCCCAAGCATTCACTATGTTATAATTTTAGCATTTATATGGGGCTCGCTTAATCGCCTCAGCAACTCGGAGTTTTGTATCATATCTCATCACAAACACTCGAAGAGCACGCCTTTTGGAGTCCTCTGAATTATCACCTTTTGATACTCGGCTCGAAAGAAAGCTGTTTCTGGTGTGGACCAATCAGTTTCAAAGATAATGCATATGTTTTGTCCTATGACTAACCACGGCGATCCGAGGGGAGAGACTACTGCGAGTTACAGAAGACTACAAGCGACAGAGTACTGCGACGGACAGACTCCGGGGCAAGGCCTCGATATCAACAATGGGTGTTGTGTCTCGCAGAGAAGAGGGGCGAGGTGATGCTCTGTGCGAGAGTTCGGCATGGACCGACAGAGTATCGCTGAGAGTTTTATTCTACATTTATCCTGATGTTTTCAGTTGCTTGCAAAGTCAAGGATTGCGATAAGTTGTATTGTACTAAGCTTTCGCAGTTGTTCAAGAGGTGTGCGAATACAATTTACAAGTTTTGAGAGTGAGTTCCAGCTTTCACGAGCAGCTGCGATCGGCAGGCTCCGGGGAACCTGCCCTCTTGACTGGCACATCGTCAACGAGCTGCACCAGCAGAAGCCACGAGTCCACGAAATCAACGCAAAGAGTTGACTTACTGCAAGCAGCAAGCTCTGGGGTGGGACTCTGCAATCAACCAAGGATGAAGAGGCTTGCCGAGTAGCAATTGGTCACCAAGTACGAGCTCGGCGCTGACGGAAGAAGTATCGCTCAAAGTTATTCTACACTGAGTGCCAGCTCCCACGAGCAGCTGCAGCCCGAGAGATAGAGTGACGAGCAACGACGAGCAATCAACCGGGAGAAAGGGTGGAAGCCCAAGCATCGACCAAGCCAGCATCGCAGAGAACCAGCTGCACGCACAACTAGGCATCGCCAGAGAGCACGGAGCCGGAGAGAGAGCGCAGCAGCGCCACCGAGCAAGGGTGTCAGCTGCCAGCGGACGAGCGGCGAGCGCTGTCGAGCACTTTCAAAGACGAGCATTGTGCCGACTCAGCTCATCCAGCAGGGGAAAGAGCCTGACCAGCCGCCCGTGAGGAAGAGGAGAGCGCCGTGGGTTCGACCCACACGCACCGACCAGCACCAGCTGTGAACCAAGACAAGAGTGAGGAACGGCGACCAGCAGACGAGCTGCGGGCGCTATCTGACGACGGAATCATCGCGCACCGCCGACGGCGAGCGTCGTGCCGACTCTTCATCCAGCAGTGGGCAGCAGCTCCAGCTGCCGCCGAGCGAGAGAGAGAGCGAGGAAGCTGTGTGTATGACCCTCCCCCACACTCACATACTCACCACGTATCACCCAGCGTCTGCTTGATGCAAAGAATTGATCAAGGAGACAAAACCACCAAACACACACACACCGCACATACCGGGACTAATAATAAGAAGAATGATAAGAGTGCGTCAACTATTAGCTGATAATGAAGAACATTGCTGCCCATTGAGTCACATGGATACGGTCGTTGAGAAGTATTTTAGTCGTTCTTTTTGTTAATTTTAACTGTACCGATGAATTCATTGACGAAACTTAACGTTTATAAACCTACGTTACGAATCCACACACTCACAGGGAGACTATTGTGTTGAAATTTTTATTTTGATCACAGAATCTTGCCCGCGAATTTATTGAAGCCTTAGCCAATTGATAAGCATTTGCTGAAGCAGACACACTGCCGCACACCATTGTTCCAAGACGTTTAGTTAATTACATAATCTACCAATGAATTCATTGAGGTCTACTTTTGCACTCGGGACATGTTTCTTTATTGCTGTTAGTATGAATATTGTCACATTTATTTTTAAGGACTTTTTTCCTATGCTCGTGTTACTCTGAGGAATTAACCGATTGCTCTGTTACCCAGTTTAACAACGCAATCATTGAGGGTTAAATGTACGGATCAATGAGGAGCACATCTCCAGGAGTACTGTATTGACAATTCCAAGCATAAGAGTTCGCATATTAGAGTGTTATGTTTTTGTTTAGAAATTAAAGTTGCTTAACACAGAAGTGTCTGAGTGGTTCCTTCCTAAGTTCATGCATAATGATCTTAATTATAAGAACTGTGTTCTTTGGCGAGATCTGAATTCTGAGACCTGATAGAATTACACTAAAACATAATCAGTAAAAGTTAAAGCGAGAATCTTTGTATTATCACAATTAGTAAGAAGACAATGTTTTCATGTACCAGTGTGGGGGGGGGGGGGGGGGTGGGTTTTATGATGATTCAAGCACATTATATTTGTTGTGCACTTTATTTATATTATTACATTGTAATATGAAATAATTATACAACTCACCATAATGCAGAATCAGTGGGAACCGTGAGCTTGTTTTCCTGTTACTAGATGGTCCCATCGGGGGTGATGGGAGACGGTGACACCCGAAACGTGTTGCCTATGTCCAGTCTACTCCATAATCTCGTTTTGGTTGCTGTCACTGCAGAAAACCCTGCTTCACAAAGATAGGATGTTGGAAATGGAAGCAGGCTTTTCAGTGCTTTTGTGACAATATCAGGATATTCCGCCTTGACTTTAATCCAGAACGTATCGAGATTTGAAATTGTCTCAAACATACTTTTAAGGCCACCTTCATTTGCGATCTCAAGCAGTTGATCCTCTTCTAGCACAGACAGTCGATTCACCTGGCTTATTCACAAATGGGTCGCGGGTCCATTCCTTCCCAGTTCGTGGGTCTTTTGTGGTTGGGAAGTAATGCTCAAACTCTTTTAAAAGCTGAGATAGCTTTTAATGCACCAGCTGGGAGAAAGGCCCTGGCTCAGTCTCTTTCAAAATCTCTGCTAGTGTTTGAAACATGTCAAAAGTTCCAATGTTCACTCGTCGCCCCCATAATTCCAGTTTGGCTTTGAATTAAGCCACTTTATCTGCCGAATTGAACAGAGTTGTCGATCTCCCCTGAAATTACAGATTGAGTACGTTGAGCAGGCTGATTATGTCACACAAGTGAGCAAGTTTTACGACCCATTCTGTGTCACTGAGATGTTCTGCCAGTGGTGACTGTTTTTGTAAAAGATATCTCTGGAGTGGCTCTCGCAACTCAAAAACTCTGGCCAGTGATTTACCTTTAGAAAGCCATCTCACTTCTGTGTTTTAGAGATGATGTGTGGTGAGCGCGCTGCGCTACGAACCCGGCGACCCGAGTTCAATTCCCGCTCACGGCCACAACGATTATTTTACTGGTCCTGGGCTTCCCCTAGGTCGACTCAACCTCAAACGAGTAACTGATGTGGTGTGTGAACATCGCCACTGGGGAGACCAAAGGCGGCCGGGCGTGGTGAATCCAAGTCCCGGGCGAAGCCGGGGAAGTCAAGCTAGTCTTCTATATATGAAAGGAAAATTTGTGAATGTGTTGTCTGTTCAAAATGTTTAGCGTACTTCCCGACATGCAACAAACTTGAAATTTGCCATGTGGGTACTTTGCAAAATGTACACCATGCACAAATTATAAAAATACACTTTTGTATTTGGGGGAGGGGGGGGGGGGGAAATGACCATGAAGTGTGTGGCGAAAATCGATATCTGCTGAGCGTTTGTGGTATCCATCAAACGGGAATAAGCCGATTCTAAAGAAATCTACAACCTTAGATTCCTTTGCGCGATCGTAAGTTTATTTTCCACCGCACGTTGGGTTTTATTTTAATTTTAATTAATGAGATAATCTTCTTGGTTCTCTCGGTAAAGTCACGTAGAAGGGAAGTAATAAAATAATAAAAAGAAATAAGTATATTGTGCTTTTTTAAAGAATATTTTATTTATTATTTGTTAATATGTATTATTTTAATTTTATTACTTCCCTTCTACGTGACTTTACCGAAAGAACCAAGAAGATGAATCCCTGCAGTCACGAAAGCTTTAAATCGAAATTTAATGAGATAATCATCAAAAACAATTCAGTTGTATATGTTATGTTTTTAAGTTTTTTGAGAAGTTTTGCAATAAATGTTTCCCCCGGGCAACGCCGGATGCTTCCCGCTAGTACCTAATAAATGCAACTGAAACTATCAACTGGCGGTTAATTAACATAATTTATTAATGCTTAATCACTGCACATGAGTCCGTATCATTAACATAATTTATTCAGTTACACCGTCGATCGTTGGGGAGGGGATTGTGTGTTGAACCCCGTAAGTGACGTCATGTCACCTGCTGCCGCGTGACGTCACGAGCTGCTACACCGCGCTCGCTCTCACAGATCCGAGGTGAGAAGTCAACATCGTGGTTGTTGTTGTTTACCCAGGTAGAGCCTCTCCCCGTCTCTCTCTCGTAAGGATATCAATTGAGTAGCAGCGAGTATGGAATCGATGTCCAGGTTGGAACATTACAACGCGAGGCCTCGCCACGCGGGGCCTTGCCTCCTGCCCTCGCCTGATTGCATTTGCTTTAATCCTCTGCTTAAGTTTAATTCGTCTTCATCTGGCTCACTACTTCATGCGACCTCCTTTGCCAGTAGCAACATATAAGAAGAGGTTTTTTCCCTTTTTTGGCAACAAAACAGGTGTTAAGATATTCTTGGTTCTTTCGGTAAAGTCACATAGAAGGGAAATAATAAAATAATAAATGTTTTTCACGGCTGTCGATGATTGCTCGTGTTGCAGTCGAAACGTCATGAAAATTTTTATATTTTTTATTTTATTATTTCCCTTCTACCTGATGACTTTACCAAAAGAACCAAGAATATGAATCCCTGCAGTCAGGAAAGCTTCAAATCAAAATTTAGGTGTTAAGATGTTAAAACGCCGAACTGAAACCTCTTGCAAGGAATCGTGTCTGCATTAACCACAATATACTCGCGATCAATATGCAAACAAAACACATGCTGTGATAATCTGTGCATTGTCTGTGAAACTGATTGGTCCAAAACCAGAGACGGCTTTCTTTCGAGCCTAGTCTCAAACGGTGTTAGACCAGAGGACAGCGCCAAAAGGCGTACACAGCACAAAGACAACGCCACCATCAGAACAATGACAGCTCGGGGTGAGCAGCTACATCATGGGACCTCCTTTCCCAGTAGCAAAATATAAGAAGAAGCTTTTCCCCTTTTATCATTTACAGATTTATACAATTTTTTGTCTTGGGATATTTTTTGTATACGGTTTCTCCGTGTTTATTTCAATTGGTTGGACCATCTCTAGCTCCACCCACCTACCTTGATGCACCCATCTCAGGCCTATATAAGACCTTGTCTCAGCAGCTTTTTCTCTCACCTGAAGACGATTGCTTGTGTTGCGATCGAAAAGTTGTGATCTATTTTCTATGTACGCGACTTGACCGAAAGACCCAAAGAGTATAATTCCTGCAGTCACGAAAGCTTTAAATCAATAAATAACTACGTAGTTTGAGAAGCTCCCAATGCACCATTGGAACCTCCTTTGCCAGTAGCAAAATATGATAATTGTTTTTTTACCCTTTTATCTGGCAACAAAACTGACACCTTTTTTTACAAGGAGTCATGTTTGCATTGACCACAATACCTGCGGTCAGAATGCAAACAAAAATACAACTCTGATAATGTATGCACTGTCCTTGAAATTGATTGGTCCACACCCGAGACAGCTTTTCTTAGAGTCTAGTCTCACATGGTGTTGGACCAGATGACGCCAAAAGGCGTACAACTCAAAGACAATGTACCATCAGAGTATGAGAGCTCGGGGTACGCATTTACACCATTGGAACCTCCTTTGCTATTAGCAAAATATAATTGTTTTTTTACCCTTTTATCTGGCAACAAAACTGACACCTTTTTTCAGTTGTACGCCTTTGGCGTCATCTGGTCCAACACCATCACAGGACCCTGCGGGGTGGGCTGGTAGGAATAATACTTAGTACCGGTACAGGGATATCGACCGGGTATAGAGGAGTTAAAGAAAAAATTACTCTTCTAGTGTAACGTTAATTAAAAGTGTTTGTTTTGACAAGAAACGCTGTGAGATTTAAAGACCCCCTCAACACCACCCTCAACACCATCCCTCCCACCAGCCCTCACCACCCCCCACCACCACCCCCCACCACCACCCAACCCCACCACCACCACCCCACCACCACCTTCTGCACTAGGCCTCGCGAAGCCTGCCGCACTAGGCCTCGCGAAGCCTGCCGCACTAGGCCTCGCGAAGCCTACCGCACTAGGCCTCGCGCCGTGCTTTTCGTGCACAAATAAGGCGATTAAATGTATCTCGTCTCTGTGTTAATAAATGTTTCTTGTCTCTGTTAAAAAAACGTGCTGCGTTTCAGTAAAGTAAATTTTTTTTTAATAAACGTGCTTCGTTTTCTCTGTGTTAATAAGCCTGCCGCACTAGGCCTCGTGAAGCCTGCCGCACTAGGCCTCGTGCCGTGCTTTTCGTGCACAAATAAGGCGATTAAATGTATCTCGTCTCTGTGTTAATAAATGTTTCTTGTCTCTGTTAAAAAAACGTGCTGCGTTTCAGTAAAGTAAATTTTTTTTTTAAATAAACGTGCTGCGTTTCATCTCTGTGTTAATAAGCCTGCCGCACTAGGCCTCGCGAAGCCTGCCGCACTAGGCCTCGCGCCGTGCTTTTCGTGCACAAATAAGGTGATTAAATGTATCTTGTCTCTGTTAATAAATGTTTCTTGTCTCTGTGATAAAAAAACGTGCTGCGTTTCAGTAAAGTAATTTTTTTTAAAAACGTGCTGCGTTTCAGTAAAGTAATTTTGAAGCGAAGTTTAAAGTTTTGCCGTGATGCGCCGGAAGCGACGGCCATCTTGTTTAATTCACAGATCGCAGGGGGAGCGGGCGGCCATCTTGTCGGACAGGGTCATGCCAAGTGTTTGCATTAGGGGGCGATGTTGATACACGGACGGACGGATGGACGGACGGACACATTAATCTATTGGTGGTCTGGTCCACTTCGTTCCTACCAGTAATAACTGCCCTGCAGGTATGCTGCAGGGCAGTTAATAGATATTTTCTCTGCAGCAACGATGAGGTCGGAAGAGCGACGCCCACATGATTAGGTGGAACTCTGGGTTCCTAAAACCCAGCAAGACATTGGGGAGCACAGCTGGTTCATCTGTCAGTCATCCCTTGACACCTGGGTCATTCCTATTACCTGCTGACAAGGAATCCACACTTACATGGCCTTAAATTGCACCTATCATGGCATTAGCACTGGGATAAGGTTACTTGCAATTCGTCATGAATGGTGGATTTTTGTTTATATATGTTAATGATGCATGTGAAATGTAAGTGTATTTTAGAGTTTATCTTTGTGGGGAGCTGTGGTGCATTTATTTCACTGCATTATGAACTCAACAATTAGTTTGATTATCACCGACAGCAAACATGATTGAACAGGACGCTGCGGGGTGGGCTGGTAGGAACGAATAACCAAAGAATATAAACATAATATATTATTACACTTGTTTAGCCAGGAAAGCCCCACTGAGTCTTAAAGGTTTTTGTAGGGTCCTGCCAAGTGTTTGCAGTAGGGGGCGATGTTGCTACACCGAATCGGACGATACGAAGGGAGAGTGTGAGGCCTAGTTCTAGGCTTGAGGCCTAGCTGTAGGCGTTAGGCTGCTGTGAGTTAATTTTTTATTTAAATGTTTTAATTATTTATGTAAAAGCTTAAAATGTAAATGTTTCTATTTAAAAACATCAGGGAATGTAACATTGTTAAACATTAACTCCCTTTCACACACGCGGGGGTACGATACGAAGGGAGAGTTTGAGGCCTAATTCTAGGCTTTAGGCTTAGCTGTAGGCTTTAGGCCGCCGTGAGTTAATTTTTAATTTAAATGTTTTTATTATTTATGTAAAAGCTTTAAATTTAAATGTTTTTATTTAAAAGCATCAGGGAATGTAACATTGTTAAACATTAACTCCCTTGCACACACGCGGGGGTACGATACGAAGGGAGAGTTTGAGGTGTAGTTTGAGGCTTTAGGCCTAGCTGTAGGCTTTAGGGCGCAGTGAGTTCAATTTTAATTTAAAAGTTTTAATTAAAAGCTATCTCAGGGAATTATAAGGGAATGTTACACTTGTTTAGCCAGGAAAGCCTAATTTATTTAAATGTTTTAATTAAAAGCTATCTGAGGGAATTATAAGGGAATGTTACACTTGTTTAGCCAGGAAAGCGTCACTGAGTCTAAAGGTTTTTGTAGGGTCATGCCAAGTGTTTGCAGTAGGGGGCGATGTTGCTACACGGATGGACGGACGGACGATATAATCTGTTGTAGGCTGGTCCACTTCGTTCCTACCAGTATAAGTAAAAGCTGAACTGCTTGTGGGCCTCTGCTATGTTGATTGATCTTAAATATATGCTGCTGAAGTTAAATCTGTTCATCCAAGCATTCAAGCAAATCTGAGCCTGGCCTCACACCTCTAAAGTTGCGATTGAACATTTGTTATGCATTTCTGCATAATACAAATAGTATTATTCCCAACAGCCTTTGCTATGTTAGCTGAATTTTGCTTTTATAAATACTACTTTTGCAGCCAGGCTGCCGAAATTGTGTGCTTGGTGTTTTGTGTTAACATTTATTTTGAAGATACTATGGCTTCCAGGCATATTTATAACCTTTGGCCCTCTCATTGTGTGCCTTAACAGCCCGTGTGATGAATTGGGGATAATCTTGAATATGTGGATAAATATAGATGTGTAAGTCATGTGTGACTGTGTATATATTCATTCCTCTGTCCCTCAATACTGATGAAGATGGTGTGGACATTTTTTTCTGTCTGCAGCTGATGCTTCTTCTAATGTTTCCTCTGCAGAATTGGTCTGATGGAGCAAAGGCACTCAGCGCAGCTCAGTAGACAAAGACAACAATGGGACCAGTATGCAAACAGCATGGATTGTACTGGAAATTTTACACAGGACCAGAGATCTCCAACGGGAGAGAAAGCCTTCAAGTGCACTGTGTGTGGGAAGGCATTTTCAAGTTCATTTTATCTTAAAATACACCAGAGAACACACACAGGAGAGAAACCCTTTAAGTGCACTGTGTGTGAGAAGCCATTTTCAAGTTCATTTTATCTTAAACTACACCAGAAAACACACACAGGAGAGAAACCCTTCAAGTGCACTGTGTGTGAGAAGGCATTTTCAAGTTCATCTTATCTTAAAATACACCAGAGAATACACACAGGAGAAAAACCCTTCCAGTGCACTGTGTGTGAGAAGGCATTTTCACGTTCATCTTATCTTAAAAAACACCAGACAACACACAGAGGAGAGAAACCCTTCAGGTGTACTGTGTGTGAGAAGGCATTTTCAAATTCATTTTATCTTGAAATACACCAGAGAACACACACAGGAGAGAAGCCCTTCAGGTGCACTGTATGTGGGAAGGCATTTTCACGTTCATCGCATCTTAAAAAACACCAGAGAACACACACAGGAGAGAAACCCTTCAAGTGCATTGTGTGTGGGAAGGCATTTGCACAGTCACCACAGCTTCATAGCCACCAGAGAACACACACAGTAGAGAAAGCCTTCAAGTGCTCTGTGTGTGGGAATGCATTTTCAAGTTCATCTTATCTTAAAATACACCAGAGAACACACACAGGAGAGATACCCTTCAAGTGCACTGTGTGTGAGAAGACATTTACATGGTCATCAGGTTTACAGATCCACCAGAGAACACACACAGGAGAGAACCCCTTCAGGTGTAGTGTGTGTGGGAAGGCATTTTCAAGTTCGTCTTATCTTAAAATACACCAGAGAACACACACAGGAGATGAACCCTTCAAGTGCAGTGTGTGTGAGATGGCATTTTCACATTCATCAAATCTTAAAATGCACCAGAGAACGCACACAGGAGTGAAACCCTTCATGTGCAGTGTGTGTGGGAAGGCATTTTCAAGTTCATATAATCTTAAAATACACCAGAGAACACACACAGGAGAGAAGCCCTTCAAGTGCATTGTGTGTGGGAAGGCATTTTCAAGTTCATATAATCTTAAAATACACCAGAGAACACATACAGGAGAGAAACCATTCAAGTGCACTTTGTGCGGGAAGGCGTTTGAACAGTCACCACATCTTCATAGGCACCAGAGAACACACGGGCATCAGAAGACCCCCAAGGAGTGTAGTCTGAAATCGACTTGTGAAAGTCAAAGTGCTGCAATGATCCCATCCCTCCTGAAAAAAGAACCAGAAGTAAATTCCAGCTTGGACACTATGACATGTATCAAGGTGAAATTTGAAGAGGCGACGGTGAAGAGCGAAGAAGTGACAGTGAAGAGCGAAGAAGTGAAGGTCAAATGTGAAGATGAACATTCAACTCCAAAATCGGACCTTCACATCAATGGAGGCAACGTGAAGCAGGAGGAGAATTCTGACTGTGAGGCAGAGCGAGGCAACTCCCAGCAGTTTGTGGAAGTGGAGGTGTGGGTGGACTTCTTAGACAATACAAAGTCAAATGGAGAACCTGTAGATGTGTAAGATTGAGACAATGAAGCTCACATTTGTCACAGGCCTTTAAGGAAAATAACTTGAAGTTGAACACTCCATTCCTATGTTCAACTTGCTGAGTAAGAGCAGTCAGTATTTGCGGCCCTGTGGGTTGGGTAGATCTCTAACTAGGAGCGAGAGCCAATAAGCTCCCAAGCATTCACTATGTTATAATAATATTAGCATTTATATAGTGCTTGCTTAATCGCCTCAGCAACTCGGAGTTTTGTATTATCTCATCACAAACACTCGAAGAGCACGCCTTTTGGTGTCCTCTGGATTATCACCGTTTGATACTAGGCTCGAAAGAAAGCTGTCTCTGGTGTGAACCAATCAGTTTCAAAGACAATGCATATATTGTGTCCTATGACTAACCACACGGCGATTCGAGGGGAGAGAATTTCACGTAAAAACAGAGGCACGACGCATACATAGAGACTACTGCAAGTTACAGAAGACTACAAGCGACAGAGAGTTCTGCGACGGGCAGACTCCGGAGCATGGCCTCGAGATCAACAATGGGTTTTGTGTCTCGCAGAGAAGAGGGGGCGAGGTGATGCTCGTTGCTGAGTTCGGCATGGACCGACAGAGTATCGCTGAGAGTTTTATTCTACATTTATCCTCATGTTTTGAGTCGCTTGCAAAGTCAAGGATTGCGATAAGTTGTATTGTACTAAGCTTTCACAGTTGTTTTAGAGGTGTGCAAATACAATTTACAAGTTTTGAGAGTGAGTTCCAGCTCCCACGAGCAGCTGCGATCGGCAGGCTCCGCGGAACCTGCCCCCGTGACTGGCACATCGTCAACGAGCTGCACCAGCAGAAGCCACGAGTCTACGAAATCAACACAAAGAGTTACTTACTGCAAGCAGCAAGCGCTGGGGTGGGACTCTGCAATCAACCAAGGATGAAGAGGCTTGCCGAGTAGCAATTGGTCACCGAGTACGAGCTCGGCGCTGACGGAAGAAGTATCGCTCAAAGTTATTCTACACTGAGTGCCAGCTTCCACGAGCAGCTGCAGCCCGAGAGATAGTGACGAGCAACGACGAGCAATCAACCGGGAGAAAGGGTGAAAGCCCAATTATCGACCAAGCCAGCATCGTAGAGAACCAGCTGCACGCGCAACCAGGCATCGCCAGAGAGCACGGAGCCGGAGAGAGAGCGCAGCAGCGCCACCGAGCAAGGGTGTCAGCTGCCAGCGGACGAGCGGCGAGCGCTGTCGAGCACCTTGAAAGACAAGCATCGTGCCAACTCAGCTCATCCAGCAGGGGAAAGAGCCTGACCAGCCGCCTGTGAGGAAGAGGAGAGCGCCAGCGAGAGCGCCGTGGGTTCGACCTACACACACCGACCAGCACCAGCTGTGAACCAAGACAAGAGTGAAGAACGGCGACTAGCAGACGAGCTGCGGGCGCTATCTGACGACGGAATCATCGTGCACCGCCGACGTTGAGCGTCGTGCCGACTCTTCATTCAGCAGTGGGCAGCAGCTGCAGCTGCCGCCGAGCGAGAGAGAGCGAGGAAGCTGTGTGTATGACCCTCCCCCACCCTCGCATACCACGTATCATCCAGCGTCTACCTGACGCATAGAATTGATGAAGGAGACAAAACCACCAAACACACACATTCCGCACATACCGAGACTAATAATAATAAGAATAATGATAAGAGTGTGTCAAGTATTAGCTGATAGTGAAGAACATTGCTGCCCATTGAGTCACGTGGATACGGTCGTTGAGAAGTTTTTCAGTCGTTCTTTTTGTTAATTTTAACTGTACCGATGAATTCATTGACGAAACTAAACGTTTAGAAACCTACATTACGAATCCACACACTCACAGGGAGACTTGTGTTGAAATCTTTCTTTTGATCACAGAATCTTGCCCGCGAATTTATTGAAGCCTTAGCCAATTGATAAGCATTTGCTGAAGCAGACACACTGCCGCACACCATTGTTCCAAGACATTTAGTTAGATGAAACTGACATTTAGCTTATTACATAATCTACCAATGAATTCATTGAGGTCTACTTTTGCCTTCGGGACATGTTTCTTTATTGCCGTTCGTATGAATATCGTCACATTTATTTTAAGGACTTTTTCCTATCGCCGTATATGCTCGTGTTACTCTGAGAAATTAACCGATTGCTCTGTTACCCAGTTTAACGTAATCATTGAGGGTTAAATGTACGAATCAATGAGCACATCTCCAGGAGTACTGTGTTGATGTGGGGGTCGCTAGTCCCCGAGATCCCTCCCTCGATAATGCTTACGGCCGGGCTAACATCATCACTTGCCCCCCCGCTGCTAAGCGAACCGCTGCTGGGTTCCTCACCCATGGTGTGGGAGCTGTTGCTCGAGGATTCCCCTCCACCGCGGGTCCGCGTCGTAGGCATGGTTAGATACCGAGTAGTATTATGCCCCCTTTACACTACCACGATACCTTCCTTTCCTAATTGCGCGCCTGCAACCCACATGGAGCGAACGTACGCACGCCCACACACACGCCGCTCCGCGCACTCCAACTCAACTCACGTTATGATCGCGCACCTGTATCACACACGGAGTGAACACACGCGACACCCACTCTCGCGCCGCTCTGCGCAGCGCTCCCCCGAGGCGAGCCGCAGCACTACACTCACCCCTGACTACTCGCGTTATGATCGCGCACCTGTATCGCACACGGGGTGGACGCACGCACACACACGCAGCTCCCCACTCGACACACTGCTCAACAAGATCACGCGAGACCACGCTTCGCTATTAATGATTTATTATCTGCTACTCGCGAATTGATGCTAAGTCAGTATGAGTCGACGAGGCTGGCCTATCCTACTTCCCCTGGGCCTATTCCCTATTTATCGGCTTACGATACCCTACTTCACCTCCCCACTCACTGTTTGGTGCCCACGGTGGTTCGCTGCTCCCTGTGCTAACAGCGCACCTCGATGCGTCGCACGGACGTCCGGGTCGCTGGCTGGAGCTGCGGCTGGTCCTCTGGCCTGGAGAAAAGAGAGCTATTTCTCGTTTGTGCCCCCTTTTTATCCTCCCTACATCAAAGGGATGCGGCTACGAACGGGATGGTGTCCCTCAGCCCTTCCCTAACAATGAGCTCGCGCCAGCTTGCACGCGCACGGTGGCTCCGCGGCGCCTCCACGGCGCTTTTGTTATGCTAATCGGATGTGCTGCGGCGCCGATTCCAAACACGCTCCTTTGGAGTGAGCAGGTAGGAACTTGGTTGGACAGCGCATTCGTGCACGACAGAGAGACCAATAATTCCTGGTGGGCAGTGTGGAACATTGTTCCTACCTGTATTAATCTCCCTCTCATGCATGGCGCCGTGCTCCTGCGCACCCTAAACTATGCCGCCCCGTCCCTCCTCCGCCTGTCTCGTCGACCCGTGGGGGTGTGTGTGGGGGGATGCGCCTCAACCGCGGTGGCCGAATGCCCCACGCCGCGGCCATACCATATTAAGGCTGGTCGCAGCGCCGCGGCGCAACGTAGCACGGGGGAGGCCGTCCAATTTCCTGATCGCCGGAAACCGTGAGAGTTAATCCCGATAAGGGTTTCTCGGATAAAAACCGGTCGATCAGGTGATCTCCCCTTCCAGCTCTATGGGTGGGGGAAAATGCGTGCGGGTGTGTTCATGTGAGGTGAGGTGAGGGGGGCGAGGGGTTGGCTCCGTTGCTTGGTGGTGGCGAGGTCGGGGCGCCCGCCGAACGGCTTCGTGGCGGCGGCATCACATTGACAATTCCAAGCATAAGAGTATGCATATTAGAGTGTTATGTTTTTGTTTAGAAATTAAAGTTGGTTAACACAGAAGTGTCTGAGTGGTTCCTTCCTAAGTTCATGCATAATGATCTTAATTAAAAGAACTGTATCCTTTGGCGAGATCTGAATTCTGAGACCTGATAGAATTACACCAAAACATAATCAGTTAAAGTTAAAGCGAGAAACTTTTTTATTATCACAATTAGTAAGAAGACAAGTTTTTTCACGGACCAGGGGGGGGCGGGGGGGGATGGTTTCATGATGATTCAAGCGCATATTTATTGTGCACTTTATATTATTATTACATTGTAATGTGAAATAATTATACAACTCGCCATAATGCAGAATCAGTGGTAGCTCTGAGCTTGTTTTCCTGTAACTAGATGGTCCCATCTGGGGGTGATGGGAGACCGTGACACCCGACGTGTGTTGCCTATGTCCAGTCTACTCCATAATCTCGTTTTGGTTGCTGTCACTGCAGAAAACCCTGCTTCACAAAGATGGGATGTTGGAAATCGAGGCAGGCTTTTCAGTACTTTTGTGGCAATCTCAGGATTTTCCACCTTGACTTTAATCCAGAACGTATCGAGATTTGAAGTTGTCTCAAACATACTTTTAATGCCACCTTCATTTGCGATCTCAAGCAGTTGATCCTCTTCTAGCACAGACAAAGTCGATTCACCTGGCTTGTTCACAAATGGGTTGCGGATCCATTCCTTCCCAGGTCCGGGGGTCTTTTGTGGTTGGGAAGTAATGCTCAAACTCTTTTAAAAGCTGTGTCTGTGTATCTCAAGTAGATGTCTGTGTGTCACATTTGTATGTGTGTAGGGCTGTGTGTGTGTCAGTC